GCGTGAGCCGGCCCTGGGCGCGGGGGGAGGGGCCTGGCTGCGTGCCCGCCCGTGTGTCCCGGAGCCGCATTAGGAGTGGCTGGGTGTCACCAGAGGGCTCGCGGCGTCGTGGGTGGGCAGTGCCCCGCGAGTGACGAGCGCTGATGGGTCTGGCCCCGTGCCGCGGGGCCGGCTGCCAGGCACCTGCTGGAAGAGGCGGTGGAGCCCCCCCGGCAGCTGCGGAGCCCGGGGGCTGGCGGCCCTTGTGCTGGCCGCGGGGGGAGCTGGGCACGCTGGTGCCGAGGGGCGACGGGTGGGGGCAGGGGCCGCGCTTGCACCGGGCCCCGGAGCGGGTCCAGGGTGGCGTTGCAGCAGGACGATGCGAGGGATGCGAGCTCCATATCTGACTTGTCCCTGCTCCTTGTCTGCCGGCGAGATACGGTGTTCCCAGTCCCAGCCGGCCCAGGCGGGGGCGGCCCCGAGGCCTTGGCACCCTGTCTGGTCTGCAGCCCCGAGCGCGGGTCAGGAGGCAGCCCAGCTTTGGGGCACACTTTCCCAGTGGGGCTGCAGCGTGGGCCTGCCCTGCCCCTCATTCCCTGTCCCCTGTCCCCTGCCCTTTGTGACCCAGCTCCGGCCAGCCTGGCTCCTGGCAGGGACCTTGCTGTATAGCGTTCGCTCCTGGGCTCCCCTCCGTGCCCCCAGTGCCCCCCGCCCCGGCGCTGTCCTCTCCCTCCTCCACCCCGTCCTGCTGCCTGGCTGGAGTCGGGGCTGTGTGCCGCATGGACCCTCTGGTCCTCGTCCTGCCCAGGGCTCCCACGCTTTGTGTTTCCAGAGCTCCATCCATCCCCGGGATGTTTCCTGGGGGCAGCTTCTAGCTCTGGCTGCTGGGCCTGGGACGGCCAGTCGCCTGTGCGGGGGCTGGTCCCTTGAGGCTCGGGGCCAGGGTCTGCTGCCCGGACAAGTGGAGTCTCTTCTGCCCAGGCAGTGGGACCCAGAGGGGCCTTGGCAGGGGCAACACCGGTGCAAGACACTGGGAGAAGGGGGCTGAGAGCCAGAGACCGCACGTTGCCCTCCGAGCTGCCACCCCGAATAACCCAGCGGGACCGAGCTCCCTGCAGCCCTGCCAGGGACAGACGGCGCTGGGTCAGGCCAGGCCAGGGCAAGGAGACCCTGGGCATGGGGGTCGCACCAGCACTGGGGCTTCCTCCGGGGCAATAGCTGCAGAGGCAGACAGGGAGGGGTCACGCTTTGCCCCCTCCTCTGAACGGGGGCTCGGGTGCCTGCAGAGTCCCTGTGCTGGGCTGGCGGCCACGGCCCCCTTCTTCCCCCGGGCCAGGGGCGATGCCTGGGCCCATGTCGTGGTGTTCAGAGATTGGGCTCGGGGTTTGTCTGGGCTGGTTTGGATAGGGCTGATCCTGCCTCGAGCAGGACAGGGACCAGACGTGACCCCTCAGCTCCCTGCCGGTGCCATGGCTCTCGGATCCTATGGGGCACGGCGCTGCAGGTGCTTGGGGGAGCCCCTCGCAGCCTGGGGGGCCGGGGGGTGCAGCAGGTCATGGGGCTGGCGTCGGCAGACAGGGCAGGTGGGTGCAATGTCGGCTGGGGCTGGGAAGGGCCCGGAGATGAGACAGGCTGGGTACGGGGGCCAAGGGGCAGGCGGGGGCAGTGTTCACAGCTGCTGTGATGGGAGGATGTGGGGGAAGCGGCGAGAGGAGGCAGCTGCAGTCTTGTGGAGCCGGAGCTGGGCCGGCTTCCCCCGGGGTTGGGCAGAGCAGGTAGCCGGGGCCAGGGCCAGACTCAGCTGTCGGCACCAAGGGGCAGGGGCCGCGGAGCGCTGCACCGTGTGTGGGGTGCGTTTGGGGCTGGGCTGCCCAGAGGACCGCGGTGCGGGGGGAGCAGGGGGTTGCAGGGGCTGGGCTGGGGTCCCAGGCAGGACGGCAGTGCTGGGGAACACGGTGAGAGGCAAGGAGGACAGGAGGTGATGGGAGCTTTGCTCGCTGGCATGGAGCAGCGGTGCCAGGCCGTGCCCCCTGCCCAGGCGCTGCCCCACATGTGCTCAGCAGCGCCCGTCTCCCCGCCCCGGCCCAGAGCACCGGGTGCGGTTCCAGGTGCAGCTGGAGGACGTGGAGGTCCGGGAGCGCGAGGACGCGGTGCTGGAGTGCCGGGTGCCGCTGGAGACCATCCCCACAGCCTGGTACCTGGAGGACAAGCCGCTGCAGCCCAGCCCCAAGTACCTCATGGAGGAGCAGGGCCGTGTGCGGCGCCTCACCATCCGCGATGCCCGCACCGACGATGACGGCATCTACCTCTGCGAGATGCAGGACCAGGGCCGCAGCATTGCTGAGGTCTCCGTCAGAGGTGTGGGGCCGCGGGGTCGCTGCAGGGGTCAGCAGGCAGGAATGGGGCCATGGAGCCACTGATGGGGTGGGATGATGCCGGGGCCTCGTGCCTCTACCCCTGTCCTGCCCTGCCCTGCCCTGCCCTGCCCTGCCCTGCCCTGCCCTGCCCTGCCCTGCCCTGCCCTGCCCTGCCCTGCCCTGCCCTGCCCTGCCCTGCCCTGCCCTGCCCTGCCCTGCCCTGCCCTGCCCTGCCCTGTCACTTGCTCCTGACCCATTTGCTCCTGCCACCTTGGAGACCCCTGGGGACCCCAAACTGCCCCCCGGGGACTCTGGGTCCCCTGCCACACCCCATGGTCCTAGCTGCCCCCTTTCACACGAGCCCGGTCCCTCCCGGTGTGTCCCAGGAATGATCGTGAAGCGGCTGCCGCGGAAGCTGGACGTCATGGAGGGGGAGAACGCCGCCTTCTGCGTGGAGACGCGGGAGGCCGTGGAGGGCATCTCCTGGCGCCGCAATGGGCAGGAGCTGCAGGAGTCGCCCTGCACCGTGCTCAAGAGCTTCGGCAAGACCCACCTGCTGGTCCTGGTGCACGTGACACGGGAGGACGCCGGCATCGTTGCCTTCGCTGTTGGGGACTCGGAAACCTCGGCCCAGTTCCGCGTCAAATGTGAGAGCCTGCTGCGGGGCGGGGGGGAGCGGGGAGCCCGGCTCTGCCCTCAGGTGGATCGGAGCCAGCACGGGCAATGCCCTGGGCCAGTCATTCCCTGCTCGGGGCCCAGGTCAAAGCTGGCGCCGTTACAGGGGACAGGCCCTGTGTCTGATGGGGCTGAGACTCCCAGGGCCTGGGCTTGAGCCGTGCCCCTGGGAAGGCTCCACATCCCGACCCCAACCCTGGGCATCGCTTCCCTGCTTGGGGGACGTCTCAGAGCAGCCCCCTGGGGTGGGTGTTTCAGGTGCGAAGCGTGTCCCACCCAGCACACCCGTGGCCGCCTGCATGAGCACGGAGCACAGTAACGCCGCGCTGCTGACGTGGTGTCCCGCGCCCGACGTGCACCGCAGCCCACCCAACGCCTACGTGCTGGAGCGGCAGGAGGCTGGCACGGCTGAGTGGGTGCAGTGCCTCACCACGGACACGGCCGGCGCCGTGGAGGTGCTGGGCGACAGCGTCCCCGCCGAGGCCGACTACCGCTTCCGCCTCTGCGCCGTCAACAAGTACGGATGCAGCGCGCATGTCGAGTTCCCCGGTGCTGCGCACCTCGGTGAGTGCCGGGGCCACCCCCCATTCCCATCCTCCCTGCCCCAAGTGCTGCCAGGCGGGGCTGGACACTTGTGAAAAACAAAGTCCTGTTTCCCTCCATGGGGCATTCAAGGGGGGACTCGTGGCCGCAGACGTGGCGGAGCTGAGAGCGCAGCTGGATCCACTGGGGACCGGACACGTGCGGGGAGGAAAGGGGCACGGGGAGTGCTGGGGCAGGGAGCGAGGGCCACGGCCTCTGCACCAGCCCTGCCGGGACCCTCTGTGCTGGAGGAACAGGGGAAAACCCTGCTCAGCCCTGGGCACTCACCCTCCAGCTCTGCTCTCTACCCTGGGACATGGGAGATGGGGCAGGATGGACCTGGGTCTGACCCAGAAAATGGCAATTCTGATGTTTGGATGATGCCAGGCTCTGGGGCTGACTTGTGCAGAGCACCACAGCTAGACAGCTCTTCCCAGCACCAGCCCCAGTTTGCTCCCTTCCCAAACTGAAAGGAGAAGGGGACATGTCCTGGGTCCCGCGAGGAGGTGGCTGGGCGCATGCGGCTCAGGGGGCAGGGGCGGCAGGGCTGGGCAGCAGCATGCCCAGGGAGGGGAACGGCGGCGGCGGGCGCCAGTCGGTGATGCCGCGCACCTCTGTGCTGGCTGCCACTGTCTCCGGCTGAGGCGCTGCCCTGTGCTCTAGTGCCCCTCGCCCGCATGGAAAGAGCCCTGCAGGATGCTGTGGTGCAAGAGGGCGAGGATGCCATCTTCTCCCTGGAGCTCTCGGCCTTGGTGCGTGGTGCCTGGTTCCTCAATGGGGCAAGGGTGCAGGAGGAGGAGGAAGAGGAAGGCCGGCGGTGCTGCATCTGGCACAGCAAGACAGAGCATGCACTGCAGATCCGTGGGGCGCGGCTGACAGAGAACGGGGCTGAGGTGCGCTTCGTGGCCCACGGGCTGCAGGACGTGGCCATGCTGCGCGTGCAAGGTGAGGCGTTGGCTGGGGAGGGTGGGAGGGGCATGGCCTCGGTGGGCAGGACACCTGAGACCATGGGGCTAGGCGGACATGGCGCAGGCATTGACCATCCCCACGCCGGTAACAAGTGCCCACTGGTCCACGCACCCCCACCCATGGGCACCTTCCCCTCTGGTGCTCCCCTGTGCCGCACTGGAGCCGGCGGTTTGTGCGTGGCCTCGTGCTTGGCTCCTGTGGCTGCCTGGCCTGTGTCCAGCGCTGCCCTTGTGCCCTGGCTCCCCGCAGGGCACAAGGGCAGGCACGCGCTGCTCAGAGTCAGAGCACACGCTGCTTTGCTCAGCCGAAGAGGTTTCCCTGGGCTGAGGGCACAGGGAGGTGCTGGGCACTGGGCCCAGGGTGCAGCTGCTGTCCCTCTGGTTCTGGAGCAAGGCAGTGCCATGGACTCCCACTTGCTGCTCCTGCCCTGCAGCACTGTGGTCACCAGCCCTCCACCCTCACGTGGTCTCCCTGGGGGTGAGGGCTGGGCACCAGGGCAGTGGGCGCCTACGAGGGGCAGGGGGATCCTGCTGGGGTCTGTGGGTTCTGCCTCCCCCCGTGGGGACGCAGGGGCAGGTGGGACCGGCGCGGGTGTGCCCAGCCCCATGCCCCATGCAGACAGCTTCGGGCGGGAGCGCCGGCCCCTGCTTACAGCGGCGTGCCCTCAGCCCCGCAGGTGCGCATCGTTGCGGTGCCTGAGGCCCAGCGCATGCAGACGCTCCCAGCGGGGCTGCCCCTGCTCCTGGAGTGCGAGATCTCCCGGCCCGACGCCCCCGTGCGCTGGCTCAAGGATGGGGAGGCCGTGCCTGGGGGCGATGCCATAACCGTCCAGGCAGAGGGCTGCATGAGGAGGCTGCTTGTCCGCTCTGCCTGCCCCTCGCACTCCGGGATGTATGCGTGCGACACCGGCGATGACGTGGTGACGTTTGCCGTGACTGTGACTGGTGAGCGGGGCTGGGGACCCAGGACCCTGCACCGTGCAGGCTCTGTGCAGCCGTGCTCAGAGTCAGAGCTGGAGAGGCTCCGTCTGCTGGGCTCCCTCCTCCACCCGCCTCTGCCCCTGGTCTGTCTGTACAGGGACCTGCCATCTCCTGCCCTGAGGGCATGGGTGTCTCCTCACACCCTGCTTGGCCTGGGGCAGCTGGGCTGTGGGTGCTGGGTGTGCCCTGCTGAGCATGGGGCGAGCCTGCTGGTGTGCTGTGGTGGGGGCGAAGCCCACCTAGGACGGTGCCAAGGGGAGGTGGCCCCATCTCCCCTTGCTCTTCTGTGCATGTTGGGGTAAGTCCAAGCTGAGCCCCTGGTTTCCCCCGCCAGAGCCGCCCGTGCGGGTCGTCAGCTCCAACGAGGCGGCGGCGCACACGTACGTGGCGTTGGAGCGCGTGGAGCTGGTGTGCGAGCTGTCCCGCCCCGACGCCCCGGTGCAGTGGTACAAGGATGGTGTGGAGGTGGACTCGTGCTGCGCGCCTGGGGGCCCTGCTGCCGGCTCGTCCTGCCCTCGGCCCAGCCGCCGGACACGGGCGAGTATGTGTGCGACGCCGGCGGTGACTCCGTCTTCTACAATGTCTCTGTCGCAGGTCAGTACCCCCACGCTGGCCCTGGGTCTGTGCCACGCTGCCTCCCTGGTGCCCCTGGGCCGAGCCACTGCCGTCCTGCTCCTCACGGCTGCCGGAAGGTCTCCCTGGCTCGGGGCACCTGTGACCTCAGACGCACCCCCAGCGCTGACCTGCTCCTCCTGCCCTGGTGACCGAGGGCTCTAAGCTCAGGAGTGTGCAGCCTTGTCGGGCCTACAGCACAGCTGTTGCTTACCCTCTTATCCCGTATGTGCCTGCTCCCCGCGCGCTGCTACCTGCCCGTGCCCTGACACTGCCCCCCAGGATACAAGGGGGCTGCAGCCGCCAACGGAGAGGTGACGGGACCTGAATCTGTTCAGCCTTCACAAGAGAAGGCTGAGAGGGAACCTGGTAGCCGTCTATAAACTTACCGGGGGGACCAGTGGGGAATGGGAGAGTCCCTGTTCCCCTGAGCACCTCCCGGAGTAATGAGGAATAACGGCCATAAGTTGACTGAGAGTAGGTTCAGACTAGACCTCAGGAGGCGATACTTCACGGTCAGGGCGGCCAGGATCTGGAACCAGCTTCCAAGGGAAGTGGTGCTCGCCTCTACCCTGGGGGTCTTTAAGAGGAGGCTAGATAATCACCTAGCTGGGGTCATATGAGCCCAGTTTTCTCTCCTGCCCAGGGCAGGGGCTCGGACTTGAAGATCTACTTAGGTCCCTTCCAACCCTACAGCTATGAATCTATGAATGTCCTGCTGTTGCCAGGGGGTTGGTGGGCACTGGAGAGAGCCCAGGCCCAGGCTGTGCCCCCGCCTCGTGTGCCGCACGAGCTCTGTGTGCAGCACGGTGGGTGCTGGTGGGGGGATGTGGTGGGGGGCGGTGAGGATGATCCAGGGTCTCTGAAGGGAGCCAGGAAGCTGCTCAGCAAGGAGAGGAGCTGAGAGTCTGAGAGAGTGAATGCGACCAAGCCTGGGGGTCTTGGGGTCCCAGGTCTCTCCCCTCTCCCAGTGCCATCTGGTGAGAGGGGGACGCTCCAGGCTGGTGTGAGGTGACAGGCAGAGTGCAGGAAGCGCTGCTCCGGAAAGGGGCCGCGGCCATGGACAGCACAGGGCTTGGGAAGGGGCCGGGCATTTCTGTGCCAGGACCAGAGTGATCTCGCTAGATGATGGTGCCAGGGACAGAGGGGCTGCGGGGACCTCAGCCTTAAGGCACTGGGCCCCCAGCTGACCCCAGCTGCTCCTGAGCCAGGCGACACCTGCACGGGGCAGGTCCTGCCACCTCCTGCGCCTCCTCGGGAGCTGGCTGTGCCCTGGGTGTGGGGATGAAATTGCCGCTTCCTCCCTTGAACCTCCATGATGCTCACAGGCCCCAGGGGACATGAGGACCTGCGAGCTGGGTATGGCGGACGTGGGGGCTGCTTGATGCACTACTGCTTTGGCCACCCATGTGCGCCTGTGTGAGCAGTACCTTGCCCCATCCTCCCTTTACTGGTCCCTCCATCCCCTGCTTCTGTCACAAAGCAGGCTACAAGCTCCCAGGGCCAAGGGCGCTGTTCCCACTGCCTCTGCAATGGTTCTCTCTGTCCCAGAGCCGCCCGTGCGGGTCGTCAGCTCCAACGAGGCAGCGGCGCACACGTACGTGGCATCAGAGCGCGTGGAGCTGGTGTGCGAGCTGTCCCGCCCCGACGCCCCGGTGCAGTGGTACAAGGATGGTGTGGAGGTGGAGGAGGGAGGACAGCGAGCGGCTGCTGCTGCAGCGCTCGGGGCCCTGCTGCCGGCTCGTCCTGCCCTCGGCCCAGCCACCAGACGCAGGCGAGTACGTGTGCGACGTGGGCGGTGACTCTGTCTTCTACAGCATCACCGTTGCAGGTCAGTGCCCCCGTACCAGCCCCGGGTCTGTGCCCTGCTGCCTCCCTGGCACCCCCTGGGCTGAGCTGCTGCCGTCCCGTGTCCCTTCAGCTGCCCCTTGGGCCATCCGGCCAAACCCCACAGGGGCGCAGGCACCGGGTTCATGTATGAGCTCCCATCCCGCAGCCCCACAGTCAGGACAGGATGCCCCCTGCTCTGTCCCTCCTGCCCCTGCCGCGCAGCACCCCCTGCTGGGCACCCCCTTCCCTGCTGCACAGAGCCCCTTCCCTGCCCCCCCCGTGGCACAGCACCCGTAGTGCTGTCCTGGGCACTGGCACCAGCACTGCCTGCCAAGGAGAGGCCCCAGGTCGAGCCCCCCCCTCCAGCAGGTGGGACTTGGCCCGACCCCAGGCACCCTGGCTGAGCCCATGGTTTCCCCTGCCAGAGCCGCCCGTGCGGGTCGTCAGCTCCAACGAGGCAGCGGCACACACATACGTGGCATCAGAGCGCGTGGAGCTGGTGTGCGAGCTGTCCCGCCCCGACGCCCTGGTGCAGTGGTACAAGGATGGGGTGGAGGTAGAGGAGAGCGAGCGGCTCGTGCTGCACCATGAGGGACCCTGCTGCCGGCTCGTCCTGCCCTCGGCTCAGCCGCCAGACACGGGCGAGTACGTGTGCGATGCAGGCGGCGACTCCGTCTTCTACAATGTCTCCGTCGCAGGTCAGTGCCCCCACGCTGGCCCTGGGTCTGTGCCACGGGCCGCTGGCGGTGCCTCCGTCTTCTACAATGTCTCCGTCGCAGGTCAGTGCCCCCACGCTGGCCCTGGGTCTGTGCCACGCTGCCTCCCTGGTGCCCCTGGGCTGAGCTGCTGCTGTCCTGGCCCCTCATGTCCCTTCAGTTGTCCCGTGGGCTGTCCAGCCAAACCCCACAGGGCGCACGCACT